ACATGCCCAAATTCCTTAAAAACTCGATTGGGCCCACGTATTAAAGCGCTATAAGTAATGTAATAGTTATAATGCTCACTCTTTTAACACTGATAGTTACTTAACAGTTATAGAGTGGCGTTAGTGGCAAACAATTTCTTGTAACTATAATAGTGGTATAATATAAATCTTGCTACTCCAAGCACTTTAAAGTCTGTATTATGGTTATAATGAAAACTGTAGGTGGTACATAAGTTATAAATTTTGCTGGTATAATTTTTATAGTAATATATTTGTTCTTTTTTAGATCCATTTATTTGCTCTATGTATCTTGGTCACTGTTGATAAGCAATTTAAGGCTGTAGGGTGTATTCTTCTTCTATAGTATTGCATATACTCGTACATTTTAGTTATGAAAGGGTAACTTTATTTTTGTGATATCATCTCAAAATGATGGCGAACTAACATAAGCATCTACAACACTTGAAATATTTACTGAATGTTTAGTTATTTACTCCTTTAAAAATAAATAATTAAATTAAAATGAAAATTTAAGGATTCTCCCATACACACACATATACACCATTAAACGTGATTTTTGGCCATTTTTTGTTCTATAATACAGTTTAGAGTATAATTTTGTATAGCTAATGTTACGTTAGATAATGGAGGAGTTCGATGGCGCAGGTGGTTAGCGCGTTCGGCTGCGATCGTTGAAGTTAAGCAACTTTCGTAGTGGTCGGTCATTGGATAGGTGACTAAAAATCTTCTATCTTGAGTTCCTCCGTGTTTCGGAAGGCACTTTAAGCCATTGGTCCCGGCTGCATCTGCAGCCGTTAACACTCGCCAATCCGCACTGGTCATGGCCCAATCTCCCTACTCCAACCATAGGGAAGGCTTGTGCTCAGCACTAGGGACATTAATAGGCTAATGATGAATCATACGGAACCATTCGTCTTCGGCTCCCACTTGGGCGGTTTTTTTAATATAACCGAAATAGGTACTCATCAAACAGCAGATTTTAATTCTCATTTAGTAATTCCGCACTTCACATAGCTAAAGTATTGCAATGCTCCTATTTAGTTATTTGATTCAATTGAACAACACTCCTATTTTTTTGAATATATTCTCGGAACTTCTTCACAGTGAGTTGGCCACCCGCACACGTACTGCATTTTCCGAGCATGGCGTTTATCAAAACGCTCACGTTTCCCACGCTTCCTCTAGCCGTCGGCCATTTTGTAAAGATGAGTCGCTCGGTCCGGCGCTTCCGTCTCCGCTCTAATTCGGGATGGCGGCATGAGCCCTTCCGGTGCAAAATGTTCTGTAAGCGAATTAAAGATTCCTTTCCGTCGGGTGTGCGTTGTTTACCCCAGATTATTCACGATAAAAGCTTAAATATTGTATTGTATCATTGTGTTTTAGAGAAAGTGTTGGTAGTATATTATTGTATATTCGCTATTTCCTATCAAATAAGTAATAGCAGGGTTTACCTTGTTTATACAAAATGAATTTTGGAGCATCAAGATTCTCCAGATAGATGCAACCAGTGGCGAATTAAACGTTGAGAGCGCCGTAGGCAATCATCTCATCGGCGCCTCGATATTGAAAATTACTCGTACTACAGTTAGTCCGAAGCCGATTCGGTATTAGTCAGTCCCACCCGTGAAATTTATCTTTTGAAATTTGTAGCAAATTGAGGTTCTAAGCAAAAATAATAGTTTTATTTTGTAAGTAGGTGACTTACTTACTGGCCCAATTAATTTCATGCTATATTATATATTTTTTCTTTAATTTACAATTCCGTCCGCGCGCCCCTATACACTCTCGCGCCCCTAGGCACATGCCTAGTTTGCCTTAAGGATAATCCGCCTCTGGATGGAACCTGTAATAGCTGTGTAAACTTGACTAGTATCTGTTGAGGAAATTACAAAATCAAACGTTTGTTTTAATGATACTAATAACTGAGTAGTTACTTATCTACATTGTCCACTAATATATATTTTTAGTTATATCTTGCAAACCGCTTTCTTTTGAACTCAGACTCATAAAAACCTCCGTAATTAATGCTTCCTTTGATAGTATTCCACGGATCTCGAACTTAAGAAATCAATAAAACCCGTCAAGTGTGGAAAATATAAACAGACCGCGCCTATCTTTTAGCTACCCACTAATTGAGTTCTCTAGGTTCTCTATCGAATTTCAAATAAGTAAGCGGAACGGCAGTCATCCCTAGCAGTGCATGCTAGCAAATTATGCGGTGAAGAAAAAAAAGCTAAGGCTGATTTTATCGCGGAAATCCAATTTTCTCCCTCGCACGCTAAAGACGAGGGAAAAAAGGCGGCAAGCCGAATGACTCCACCATTTCGAGCCGTTACCCGCCATGTTCGAGCTTCGAACACGAATAAGGAGGCGCCGGATTGGTTTAATTTGAATTTCGAACCGACCGTGTTGCCAGCTCCGCGGCGGGCGTTCGGATACCCGCGCCCTAATTAATTTGAAGAGATTCACAGATAGGCGCTAATTTCGTTAGCTTTTAACTTTACTTTAACAGTCGGCAGTTTTACAGTCGTTAATCTTTCGCTTGTCTTATAGCCGTGCTGGGGCCACCTACGGCGCCTTTGTTAAATGTTGCCATTATTAATAATTAACGTAGTTGTGACACTTTAATGTTGGGATGCGTGTTTTTTCTTACTTATATATTTTTATGGCGCACCTTTTATAATGAAGGTTAAAGGGTTTTCGTTTTGTACGTCATCTCGAGAGATGTATTGATAAAGTTAATGTTGTTGAAACGTTTTGTATAGCGAGTTAATCGTTAAAAACAAATGTTTGAAATGGCAGTATACCTATGTTGTTAAAGTCTCAAAACAATGTCTATTGGTCATTATCATCTATACGACAACCAGCCATTGCAAAATTTGCTTATCTTCCACGATCGCAGATCGAATGTGTTGACCGTTTGCTCCATGAAACTCCACATCAAAAAGTTCATCGGAAAACTCTCTCTCAGGAAACGGGAATCCATTATTTTATCGCAATTCCTTTCAACGATTTTCATTACCCATAAAAAGAATCGCAGAACTTTTTTTTCAATATTTAACAAACCCTAGAATTAGGTTACATTGCATTTTTATTTCCTCGAATATTTATTATCTACAAACACAGTTCATAGTTATTTCTTTTCATGTTTTATACATTTTATCGAAATAATGTTACAATGAAGTTTTGTTACCCATATGTTTGTTTCAGCGTAAGTTTGCAAAATTATGGAAACATCAATTTTTACTTCAAAAAATCAATGTACATCGAAAATACGATAACATGATGTCTTTAGTAAAAAAAGGTATTTAAAATGACTCAGTTTACCCCGAATCCACGAAGTCTTATCTACCCTACCCCTAGAGTGCAATTTAAAAGTGCGTAGGCGCGGCGGGGCTAGGTGGGCTAAACTGTACTTCCAGGGCCCAAGTGGTGATACTTCACACTAGGTTAGGTTAGGTTAGGTTAGTATTGTGACCATAACGCCAAAATAAAATTATTTTAAAGGAGACCTATTTTACAAAAATAATTCATCATTCGATGAAACGTTACTGCGATAAAAAGTTGTTATGTGAAAAAGTATTATGGGTTTCAATACATATTATAACATGTTTTTACGAATAGTTTTATCGATAACTTAATACTTTTACGAAATGTACCGTTTGTAATGTTTAATGTAACCGGTTTTCTGGTAAGCAAAACAACTTTAAAAGTTTTTTTCCTAGAAACGTTTTTCAATGATATAAAACAGCGATGATTAAAAATTCCATGAAACGAAAAAAATAAATATATTAAAAATCGTGGAATAGTTTTCGATAAAATGTCATATCAAAAAAATCTGTATTCTGATAGACACCCGTATAAAATACAGCAGAAGGGCTCAATACCGCTTGAAAGCTTTGGTTCGCTAATGAATGTACCAACTGGTATCCAGATGCTTATTTTCGTATCATTTATATTTCGCTTATTCGTCAACAGCCTATCTCAGTCCACTGCTGGACATAGGCCTCTCCAATTGCTCGCCACTGAGATTGATCTTGGGCTACTCGCATTCAGCTCCTGCCAGCCACCTTGGGCAAATCGTCACTCCATCGTGCCTGAGGACGTCCTACACTACGTTTGCCTAGACGCGGTCTCCACTCCAGAACTCGTCTACCCCAACGGTTACCGGTTCTGCGGTAAATATGGCTAGCCCACTACCACTTCAACTTGCTAATCCGGTGGGCTGTCAATAACTCTGGTTCTCAGTCGGATTACCTCATTTCTGATGCGTTTTTTCGTTTATTAAAAGCAGGTAATTTTATTATTATCACCTGCGGCTATACTACTTAACTCAGAAATAGACCCCCTGCTCCCATAGTGTGCACGTTTCCCTAATTTCTGGGTGTATATTTTGTGGGACCAACTCATGTTAGAATCATTCCATGTGAGACAGTTCCGTAAAGTCTGTACGTTCAGTGACAAGAGATCCAAGTCGAAAATAGCGATTGTTGGGAAATCGCATTTGAAGAAAAAAAAGACCGGTTGTTGCCTGTCCTGACCACAATATATTTGAGCAAGAGTTATTATTTTCTGTATCTGATATTAAAAAATATAAAACTCAAAATGGGTTCACACAGCCTTCATCATATATTCGTAATTAGCACAAAAGTATTTCCTTTTCTATAAGGCGTAGAAACATACCGATTAGATAAAAAAAAAATTAGACATTCATAATAACTAATAGAATCAATTTCGATCTTATTCGATTTAGATCACTTTTCACTGAACAGATACCCCCTTATTAAGAAACGAAGAATAAGTTTGGATTTGTAACTCCACGTTTTTTCTCTGTTCATTGAATGACAAATGGCATTTGAGTGATAGGAACAAAACTAATGGTGTAACTAGTCAAAGCTTATTCCGCGTTTATTAATAAAGGGTTTAAGGTTTATAGCGTAAAAATACAAAATGTTTACTGGTCTATGATAAATACTTACTTCTTTTCTCGTTTCCCCGCTCCAGTGTCTCTGAATCCTTTCGCAAAAGGATTGTTGTCAATCTTTAGTTGTGTTATCTGTTGAGAAAAATATGAGAATGTAACTGTGCAATATGGACTTTAAACACAATTGAGGCTGTCAGCGCAAAAGTGGCCTAATCCTCAATTATTCATCTTCTGGTTCATCTTCTACAATTAAATAAAAATGTGTTAAAATTTAATACAAAATCGTCATTAAATTCAGGCGTCAATACATGGCGTTGCAAAAGTTATTTTTGCATTCTTTTTTTTCTCTCAACGTAAACTTCATAAGTGGCCTGAGCCGCTTAATCAGAATATGAATAATTGAGGGTTAGGCCACTTTTGCGCTGACCGCCTCAATTATGTGATAGAAAATTAATAAAAGAACGGAATCACAAATCAAAACCAAAAGATCCTATTGGTGATACTTTCTATCCCATAAGTCCTTCCAGGCATATTGCAGATAAATAATAATTTCCAACACTGTCACCAATTATAGTCTCGCCCCAAAGTAAGCACTGTAGGCTTGTGTTATAGGATACTAGGGTAACGGATAGAATACATACACTGTATAGTACATAACTATATTCATATAGTAATACATAGATGTGTTCAAAACATTATTAAGGCCTCCTTACTATATTTCTTGTTTGTTTTTTAATTATAATAATATTCGTTTCCGTTCGTTGTGGTTTAGATTATCTAAGCCTACTCAACGAAAAATTGTATTTAATATTTTTTCTAAAGAAAATTTTTTACTGAAAGAATTCCACGCAGTCCAGACAGCGGGCAGGACTCGTCGCCCCCACGATAACGGCTAATTAGAGCCGAGGTCCGAGTCTCAGAGACCCTCTAGTTGAGCCGACCCCCTCAGGTTCGAGTGGTCTAGAGGCTCCAGACGGAGAGGAGACTCCCCCCGTGGGGAGTCGCCATCCGCCTGGAATCCCTCTAGAGACACTCGCCAAATCTCGGCTTGAGGTCTCCTTAGGATCTCGCCGTCCCCAAACCCGGTGACGCTGTAAAGGTCATCTGTGACCAACAGCATACACACTCAAAAAAAAAGGGCGGGACTCGAACCTGCACCATCCGCTATATGGGCAGCTATCTGATGCCTGGTCCGCGTAGAATTTTTTCAAGTATTTTTTTTTTATTTAATCATCTAGCAGTTAATGCTTAAACCATGAAAATATTACTTTAATATTTTATCATCCAAATTAAGTATAAACACAAATTGACGAAATCAAATTTCGTTTGGAAGTCGTTACCGAAAGTTCGTTTCAGAGAAAGAAAGTAGTCCTCCAAAATTGTTCGAATTAGGTGGCAGATTCAGTTATTGAGTACATTGTAAGCTATACGGCATTGATTTATTGTATCAACTAGATTTACCATCAAATCTGAATTGTCGATAATGTCAATAAGTACAACACCGTCGAAGTCATTTTAATACTTGACGGCTCTGTTTAAACAATAATACAGCGAGAAAGTAACAGCCCTTGCTGAGTTTTTTGCTGGTTCTTCTTAGTACAAGGTCTCCCGCCAAAGTTTTGCAAACCGATGTCGTAGCTTATTCGACTTTCACAAGTGCTTATAACAGCCTAGACTGAATAAATGATTTTTGATTTAGATTTTTTAATTTTAGTACTTTTCTTATCCACAGCAGATCGCCTTTTTAGTAGACTGTACTTAAAATTAATCAAGCTGGTGTTTGTACACACTCTTTCTACAATATATACAATCTTTCATTAACTATTTTTCTACTACAACATCTATTTTAGCAACATAAGGTTAAGACCTCATATTCAAACGACCTCCATTTAAGCTATCACCAATATTTTTTGACAACAATGTACCTATCCTTGTCATGCTTCAGCATTCAGTTTTTAATTTAGATAATCATATCAGAATTAGGCGCATTGTGTAGGTATATTAATGAATTTAGATGCCAAAAACCACAGAACACAGAAAGAGATTTGAGGGGCCTTGTGGCCGGGGTAAGCACGCCACAGTTATGTGTGAGCAAATGCTCATTACTTGACCAAAACTTGGTTTTGATTGCATCGTTGCCATCGGGTGTGAGTGGTGAATGGTTTGATTGGTGTGATGTCGCGTCGTTTGATTGGCTATTATATATAAGGTGGAAGTGTAGGGGCGAGTCGGCGACAGCGGTTCCAGTACATACGGTATATGATCACCCTTCTTACCTCTTTCTGTGTTCTGAGGCAAAAACCCTTACCTTTTCGTTCTGGTAAGCGGTGACCGCTATGAACTCCGTCTCCTTGAACACGTAGGTCCTGAAGGTGGAGTAGGGCAGCTTGAGGATGTCGTTGGCGCGCACCAGGTGGAACCGCGGCTGGTACTTGTGCATCGAGTTCAGGATCGTCTGCGTAACACACTTCAAACAGCTTAGGAACTTGACCGAAGGATTCTTTACAGAACTTATTCTCTAACAAGGATATCACCACATAAGTGAAGAAGACACAGAAACAAAGTTTAATACTCAGACTAGCGGCCGCCCGTGACTTCGCCCGCGTTTTTTTTAAATCTAAAATGAAAGGAGCCTAAGTTACTCGTTATAACATCAGCTACCTGCCAATAAAAGTCCCGTCAAAACCGGTCCAGCCATTTCAGAGATTAGCCGGAACAGACAGACAGACAGACAAAAATTGTAAAAAATGATATTTTGCTGTATGTACCGTATACATATTCATATGCATGTAGTCAAAAGCGGTTATATCAATATTACAAAGAGAAACTCCAATTTTATTTATATGTATGTATAGAAATAGAAGATGTATAGATTACAGAACAAAAGGCAGATGGAGCACATGGAACACGCAATGCGTGGCACCATCGCAAATACGAAGTCAAAAGCTAATATCAATTCGCTTCAATACAACGCATCGTGTTGTGAATACGTCAAGTGAATATTAAGTTTTTATCAAAATTATGTCGCCTTGTTCGAATATTGGAAAAACTGTTTACAAAAATAAAAAAAGCTTTACTTTTGACTTCGTATTTCCTTTGATGCCACGCATTGCGTGTTCCGTGCGCTCCATCCATCTACCTTTTGTTCTGTAATCTGAGGCTTTATACAGCAGGGATGATGACGGGGTGAAGTAAACAAAATTCAATTTAATCCGTCAGTTAGAGTATCAGAAAATAATCGCGGCCACTTATTTTTTATTGCCGCATACACAGAGGAACGTTTTTATTGGCTGTGACAGATCAGTGCTTAATCTTCTTTACCCGTGTGATGTTATTGGCACCAAAGTTCAAGACATTTCAAAATTAGAAGCTACTAATCGCGTACATCAGTATTATAAATAAAAGATAGGTACCAATCGATCAGCTTAAATAGGTAAGACTACTATTTAAGTTTATTTTTTCGGCAAAGAAAATAAATACAAGTATTAAAAATAACCTTTTCAACACATTTGCCAAAGAAATGCATTTACGGCGGTTGTTTACATTGATCAAATCTTCAAAATTACGGGACATACAACGTAGCTCTATATCCCATACATATGGAACCGTGCGTATTGTTTACGGTTTTTTTTAATTTCGGCCAGATCTCTTTGGAAGAGCTTTGAATCTATACTTTTGTCTATGTAGTTCTAATTTTCACCATACGCACATGGCGCTATTTGGTAATGCATGCCATTTTCTTATAAAAAATAGATTTGCTTCATTACTTAAATTATGTAACTGTTTTCTCGCAAATGTGTTGTAAAACGTTGTATGACATTCGTGCGGAATTGTTATTTATATGCTCGTGAATATGTTAAGCCCTCGATTTCGTCTCGGGTTAACAATTGTCTACTCGTTATAACCAACTTACCGCACTAATATCATAAATTATTTGTTCTATAATAATTGTAATGGTTATGTTATTAAAAACATTATATATAAAAAGTTTCAACGGGTTAGATGCGCATGCGCTGATTTTATTTATTTATTACCGTTTCGTATCCTTTTCAGGATGTATCGGCTGAATAATGATTTTATTTAATAAATATATACCTACTTAGCAGCACGATTTAACTTTAAATCTTGAAATTATTTTAGGTGGTTGTGTGCAGTTATGCGTGGCAAGATATTATATAGTAAAGTGGTTAGCATTTCGTGGCCAATTAACTGTAAAGATTTGTTTTTCATAGATACCTATATCGTTTGGTAGGCATTTTGTTGAGTTTTAGAAGCTGAAATATAATTGTTTTCAGTATTGTTTGAAAGTATGGATTTCACCTAGCTTAAGGCAGTTGAATGTTTCTGACCGTAAACACAATATACTGTAAATTAATTTATGGAAAATCTGTAATTAGCCGTTTACACTATATTTAAATACTTTTGTAAACGCCGATGTTTTTCATATAAATACGAGTAAATAAAAAATAAATAAATAAAAAAAACCCAGTGCATCTATACCGTTAAAACTTGTTTTATTTAATGAGTGATGTGCGTGATAACCTAAAAAACATTATATTTAGGTATGAAATTGTTAAGCCAATAGATTATGAAGGAAATCCAGAGGTGTACGAGGTTCGCTCCTAGCTTGGGCGTCATTAAGGATCATTATCGGTTAAGCTGTTGAATCTTAGATGAGCTGAATACGAACCGACTCGTAGCCGGTGGTTAAGGGAAATCAGACCTAAATTGCATCGCATAATTATGTGATACGAGATACTTTTTTTCTGTATTCGTAGTTCAATTGCGCTCGATTATGCGATCGCGATTTATTATCCTTTTTTAATTTGCGGAAAATGATGGTCTCGTTACCACTCGTTACAGAATGATTTTAACATAGAAGGACATAGATATATAGTGTGACTTGCACCACAGAGCTGGTTAAAGTTAATTTACTATAAAGCCCTCTATAAGCGTGTAATTGAAATGTATGAAATGAAATTATACTTTATTGAAATGGACTTATTAAGAGCTCTTATTTATTTATTGTTTATTAGCTACCCTAACATTGCGTTTATCATACATATTTTATATTTAAATAATAATAATAATAGCTCTTTTGAATCGTCCAATATTTTTTCCTTCCAATTTTTTCTACCACCCATTCAAGACATCATTTAGCTTATGAGAAGAATGGGCGTAAGAAATTTATCAGCATAACAGAGAGCAACATTTCCAAACAAAAAAAAAACATGTCGCTATACCACACACACTCTCATTTTGATTGCTGTGACATACAGTATTGTCAGTCGATAAAGGTGTCGATTCTGGCATGATTCTCTAAACTCAAGAACTAATAATTATAATAATATTATCCTAGAGTAATTTAGGATTATTCCCGGTTTTATTAAGTTTCTGAGTGTCATACTGCCTTTTAACTTTTTTAACAATTTTAGAACAATAATTACGATATCTTGTGTAGGTTAATTAAATTTAACATCAGTCTCTCCTTTTCATTCAGTATAAAGAATGACAAGGATGCACTGTTATCAAAGTTTAGCTTTACTGATGTCAGAATCTAGACCAATATCGGATGCGTTGTTTAAGAGAGTTAGAGGTAGGGCAAAGCGCATTTCCAGCTCGAATTGGAGCGCCCGTCTGGGGAAGTAACCTCCACCTTAGAGAAGAGGACAGTAAATATATCACTCTTTTTTGGTGGTGTTCCACGAGGTAGGAGATTGGGTCAGGTTAGACAACGCACGAGTGATATATTTGGCATTGTAAGCGTTACGAGGAGCTCGATGACGCAAGTGGTTAGCGCGTTCGGCTACGATCGTTGGATGGGTGACCAAAAATTTACTATCTCGAGCTCCTCCGTGCTTCGGAAGGCACGTTAAGCCGTTGGTCCCGGCTGCATCTGCAGTCGTTAGCACCCACCAATCCGCACTGGGCCTGCGTGGTGGGTCATGGCCCAATCTCCCTATTCCATCCATAGGGAAGGCCTGTGCCCCAGCAGTGGGAACATTAATAGGCTGATGATGATGATGAAGCGTTACGGTGGCCGCTTACCATCAGGTGGGCCATACGCTTATATGGCACACTTTTAACATAAAAAAAAACGAGCGAGCCTAACAGTAGTCGCGTATGATGTGTAACATTTGAATATCTCACCTTATATTTGTAAAAAAGAAATAAAACCTAGTACAAAAGGAATAAGCCATTTGAACATTATGTTCTAAAATAAATTCAAATAGCGCGCGCTTTCGCGGCATCCTGTTACACACTTCCATCCCATTTCACGTAATCACTCCCACAGATTGCAGGAAAAGCGAGAGGAAAGATGTGACACATCAAAAAATATGTAGGTAAGTACGCCTACTTACCCTAAGTTCGACAAACAATCCGAAGCTTAGCAAACTTTGTAAGGTCGTCGACCTGTACAACTGTAACTTGAACGTCAATAGTCACCTTTATGTTGAAAAATTCATTGCCTCGTATTCTTACGATACCCGTACGAAATAACAAGGTAGCCGGTAAATTATACACCATTACCATAATTCGGGTAATAAGGGCTGTCCCGACGCGGCGCCCCGATCTTAGTGACGTCACGAATTTTCTTCCATATTTTTTTATAAGTACTACAATTGATAGCTATTGTTACCTAGTTACATAAAGTATAATTCATGTGAAATAAAAGCCTATATTCAGTATGTGATTTGATGTAATTTTCTACAGAAACAATTGTATTGGCTTTAAAAAATAAGTACTGCTCATAAATTTCAAACTGTTTAGTTTGCACACATTTAAAGAGAATTTTTTATTTTTATTTCCAAAACTCAAACCAATTAGCCCAGCCCCAAAGTAAGCACTTTAGGCTTGTGTTATAGATATACTGATACATATTGACTTTGAGAAATACATATTTTACATCCACAGATCGAGAACAAAACTTGTATACATCAAACAAACATCTGCCCCACTGGGATTTGGGACCTCTACAGTTGGTTACACCATGAAAGCCATACCACTCGGCCACGGAGTTCATAGGATATAGTATTAGTGTATAATATAAATCGCCTTATTAAAATACATTTCTAGGTATCATCATCATCAGCCTATTAATGTCCCCATTGCTGGGGCACAGGCCTTCGCTATGTTGAAATAGGGAGATTAGGAGAACAGTGCGGATTGGTGGGTGCTAACGACTGCAGATGCAGCCGGGACCAACGGCTTAACGTGCCTTCCGAAGCACGGAGGAGCTCGAGATAGTAAAGTTTTGGTCACCCATCCAATGACCGACCACTGCCGACTACTGACCGAACCCGCTTACTTAATCTAGTTATGCTAATATTGTAAAGCCGAAAAGTTTGTTTGGTTAAACGTGCTAATCTCAAGAACTACTAGTCCGATTTGAAAAAATATTTTTGTATTGCTTAGTGCATGAATCGAGGAGGATGTATCAATGCGGCGAAACGA